CACAAACATGCAGCTCTGAAGGAGTCCATAACCAATGAGGTCTACATACTTCTCATGTGTGACCTTAGCCAGCCACTAAAACAGCAACATGCTTGTTTAAAATCTTTGGTTTGCAAGTTTACTGCAGTTTGTTCCACAGTGAACAAGTAAAAGGTTTTAACAAATTAAGACCTAAAATGTTGTAAGACCAATATAACCATCACTAAATCCAAACAACAGCAAGCAAGTGAAAATATAAGGCTACAGCTCTAGACTAACGCAAAATCATTTCTGGCTAGAAGTTTCAGGTGTTCGTCATGTTGTCAACCGAAAACATGCTTGGATTGTGTCATGTAGAGCACAGACCATCCTGAAAGCACAACAGTAAGGCACCAGGCACAGTGCAGGCCATCGGTAGATGACCACAGGTACTGAACTATCGCCCACTGACCAGCTGTACCTTAACTATTGCCATACTAAGATTCAATCTATAATTCAGGACCACCCCCAGCCACAAACCTCCTGCAGTCCAGTAGGTCATTTAGAAGCATCAGAACACTGACCACCAGATTCAAGAACTTAAATATTTCTGTGAAGTGCTAATATGATTCAATACATACTTATTGAGTTATGTTCAAAAGTCACATTTCTTCTGAGTTCACCCTTCCATTTGCTGACCCTAAGTGACAAACTTGAACAGTTCTCAAACGTTGAACAGCTCCAGTTCTAAATGGTGTGGCTTCAGTTTTGTGTCGATTTGTCTCAAAGTTTGACCTCTTCCAGAACGTCATCCCTACAATGTGCCTGCAAAGTTTCAGAAAAATCCATGCAATACTTTTAGAGTTACTGTGTTCATAAGACCAAGTATCTTCTACAGCTTCTGTTTCCTTCCTTTGCTGACATAAAGCACTGCTGCTTCATTTTGGGGCAATCTGTCTGAAATTGAAACCAGGCATAGATCTTCATCCATATAATGTTTCTGTGAAGCAGTAATAAGATCCATTAAATACTTTTTGACTTATCACATTCACAAGTTCAAATGTCTGCTTTCACCCTTCCCTTTGATGCCACTAAATGGTGTTGCTTCAATTTTAGGGCGACCTGTCTCACAATTTAATCAATTGCAGTGGAGCAACAATACAAGGTCTCTGCAAAGTTTGAAACAGATCCTTCAGATCGTTTTTGAGCAATTGTCTTAAGCAAAACATCCATGGCAGTGAATCAGCCCCAAAACCATACATATTTCCCAGAGTCCAAGGAATACAATAAACCGTACCTTCTCAAGCTCTCCTTCTTCTCATCTCTGCTCAAACAGCTGTCCAAGTGTTTATTAATAAACTGTTCTGGAACACCCACGTTACACACTGGACACTCCACTAAAAAACACACAAGTTTGTTTTATTTACTTGTCAGGTTCTATTTAAACCTTGAAAATGTTTTGGCAAGAATATGGAAATTAATTTTAACAATTTACTTCTTAGCCAAGGACAACATTTCTACAAAGTACAAATCCAGAGGTAAATGTCACCTTTGACCGCAGGTTTCTGGTTAGGGGAGGCTGAACTTGAGGGAAAGGCTGAGCTTGACATGGGTCCCCCAGCAGACACCTCCACCTGCTCCTCCTTCACACTCATAACCAACGCTGCACTATTCTGCTGACCCTGCCTGCTGTCCTTTTGGACTTTGGGTGTTCTTGATTGTTCTGAGCCGGTGGGAGATCTTTTTTGGAAAAAGTGGTTCAGAATGGTGCCGCCCACTTTCGAGAGCCCTGGCTTCATGGCATTCCGTCTTACAGAAGAGACGGGGGTCTTCGGGGAAATAGGTGGGGATTCAAAAGTTGTCTGTGTCAATTTATGCCTAGGTTTAACAGAAGATGAAAAGCAGACAGGTGAGTAAGAAATGTCACATTTAATAAATACAACCAAAGTGCAGCATTAAAATCATTTTATGAGCAGCAATTAGACAAAATGAATTCTATTGACGCATATTAGGACTTCAGAATACAGTGATATATCAGAACTCGAACTTAATCCGTTCAGAACTCCAGATCGAATCCTAAAAAGTTAGAGTTCTGATCGAATTTTCTCCATAAGAAATAAAAGGAAATGAATAAATAAAGGAACCAATTAATTGGTTCTCAGCCCCAAAAAATTACACCTAAATATGTTTTTTTTAGCATTTAAACACAAAATGAACCGGATAAAACAAGAAAAGCATATACTCTACTAAACACATCTAAGCACATTTATCAAAACAGTAATTTGTAAAGTAAGAAAATAAATGTATCCAAACAATGTGTAAAATAAAAAAATAAAAAACGTGTCCTTCCCCGATCGTCCACTCCTTCCGTGTGCCACACCCCCTCGTTAACCCCGTGTGGAATCCACGTGTGATCAGCTGTTTCTGGTTGTTTTTATTAGCCCTCTGTATTTCGTCCGCGTTTCAGTTTGTTTCCCCAATCCGGTCATTGTATTGTCTGTCTGCGTTTTGCCTGCCTTACCTGTAATTAAACCCCGTATTCCCAGATATCCTGACATCTGCGCCTTTGTCTCCGTTCTGTCCCCGCTCGGCACAACAATATTATTATAATTAAATGTATTAATGGTTTATTATTAATATTAAAATAAGAAATCTTTATTTTTATATGTATTTTAGTATATAATAAATTACTGTTACTGTCTATCATTGTCTAAATGTATTTTTACTGTCTAAATATATGTATTCAGCTTGTGTAAACATGCACAATGCTATCACAGCGAATGCTAGGCTGAGACTGAAGCTTTACCCTTTGTTTCCGCTGAGAGACGTGCCGCATGACTCATTTCCCCGCGCGTTCCTGTTTTGAAGCCAAGCGCATGTAAAAACAAGAAAAACAAGGAGC